GTCATCTGAAAAAAAACGAACTTAAAAATAATTGCCTTTATATTTCTGAATCTAAAGTATAATTATAATTTTTATTGCAAGAATATAGTTTTATTTCTTTCCTGTATGTATTAATGATAGTAAGAAAGTAACCGAAGCCAAATATGTTACAAAAATATTGTCTATTTAAATGTTCATTGTTTTTGTAATTCCATTATTTGGTGGCATTTATGCATTATACTTGGCCATAATGGTGTACTTGTCTTAGTCCACTTGGGCTGCTATAACAAAATACCATAGCCTGGGTGGCTTTTGTTTGATAAAAATTTGTTTGTCATAGTTCTAGGGGCTGGAAAGTCCAAGATCAAGGTTGGTGTCTGGTGGAGGCCTGCTTCACGGTTCATAGATGTCTGTCTTTTTGCTGTGTCCTCACATAGCAAAGGGGCAGGGGAGCACACTGAGGTCTGTTTCAGAAGGGCACTAATCTCAGTCCCAAGGGCCCCACCCTCATAACTTAGTCACCTTCCCAAGACCCCACCTCCAAACACCATCACCCTGGGCATTAGGGTTGAATGTAGGAATTTGCGGGGGGGATATAAACATTTAGTCTTAGCAACTAGCTGCTGGGTATCTAGAATTTTATTTATATTTGGATTTTTAATTGAGCTTTAGATGTTTTATTTGTTTAATTCCATGCTTTTTGTATCAGAAGGTTTTAATTTTTTGACTATTATTTTTTGAACATCTAATTGTGATTGATCTAAATTTTATAATTCAAAGATAAATCACATTTATATAGGTCTTTCCCATACAGCATTATATTTTATCTCCATGCCAATGTTGTGAAGTATGTTTTATTTTCCCCTTTGTGTATGTGATGACATTAAAGATTGGATAATTTATTTGTATTGAAGTCACAGATTTAAACTGGATTTTAAGGTTTGCTCAGAGGGTGATGAGACCTGAGAAACAGAACACCCCCCCTCACCAGTGTGATGCCCTTAATTGCTACACCTACTACCATCTGTAGTGGTTATAATGTCCTCACCGTAAGCCTGTCCTTGCCTCTTTCCAATTCGTTTTCTACTTGGCAGCTCTTGTAATCAAAACAAAGAAGCACAAATTATGTCATGCTACTCTACAGCATAAAGTCCTTTGTTTTATGATACTATCCACCTCTTTACCAACCCTTATAGGCCTCCCTGTATGTTCTGGCTCAGCCTAACATCCCATCTCCTCTGAGGCCACTCTCTTCCTCACTCTGGCCCACGTCTGACCTTTCTTAGTTCCTGGGATTCATCTGACTTTGTCTGTTCAGCCATCTTTAAGGTTGCCATTCCTTCTACCTGGACTATACTTCCCATTCTTAAAGTCCAAGCTTTATGCACAGAATGATTAGGAATGGGGTTTAGACTGAAAGTTGATAGTTTAAATCCCAGCTCTGGCTTACAAGTAGTCCGAATGAGTGGAAAATTAACTATGCCTACAAACAGGGATGAAATAGTACAGTTATAACATGTAAGAATCAAATGAGATAATTCCTAAAAGGCATGCAGTAATTTCCTGGTAATGTCCTCTATGCCTCCACTGTTAAGTGCTAGGTAAAGTTTAACTGGTAATACTGTTTTCGTCATTGTCACATTAGTTCTACCACTGATGACAACTTCCCAGTGTGGCTTTCTCTGACCACAGTTATCTCAAGAAAGACTGCCCACTAGTTTTTATCACAGTACCCTTTTTTGTTTCCTGCAGCCTTTATACATTTTGGAATATTAGCCCCTTGTCAGATATATCTGTGAATATGTTTTCTCATTGCTTGGGTCAGCTTTTCCAGCACCCCCTAATCAGGGCTAGCTGATTTGGCAGGTGAGTGGTTCCACCTTCCTTAGCAGATCCTGACAGCCTGTTGGGGGGAGGGGTCCTGGCACTTCTGTGGGAAGTCCCAGAATCAGTGAGGACAGTTCACTCTTTCTCCATTATTCTGTCTTTCCAGGTCTACCATGAGCTTTTGAGGGCCGAGGCTCTTGCTTTATTAGGATTTTATCTCCAGCATCTTTCACTGAGTTATATCAATGAATGAAATAGTAAATAAATACCTGTCCCAGTTTAAAATGTTGGCTCCCAAGCTTAGCTTGTACGGGACCCTAGATCTAGCAGATTCTACCACTGAGGTTTGTCAGCATCATTCCCCCTTCTACCCGTGTACTCCCACCCCATCACAGTGGGGGTCTCTGTTTCTCTTCTAAAGCATGACACTTTCTTTTTTTTTATTTAGTTATTTTTCAAGTACAGTTTTCTGTCTATTTCTCCCATCCCATCCCAGCCCACCCCGCCCCGTGCCCCCCACCTCCCTCCTATTTCCAACCCCCTTAGTTCTTGTCCCTGTGTCCTTCATACTTGTTTCTCCAAATCCCTGCCCCTTTTTCCCCCTTAAATTCCCTCCTCTCTCCCCTCTGGTCACTGTCCCCTTGTTTTCTATTTCAGTGTCTTTGTTTTTATTTTGCTTGCTTGTGTGTTTTGTTGTTTAGCTTCCTGTTAAAGGTGAGATCATATGGTATTTGTCTTTGAGCACCTGGCCTATTTCACTCAGCATAATGCTTTCCAGTTCCATCCATGTTGTTGCAAAGGGTAGGAGCTCCTTCTTTCTCTCTGCAGCATAGAATTCCATTGTGTAAATGTACCACAATTTTTTGATCCATTTATTTACTGATGGGCACCTAGGTTGCTTCCAACTCTTGGCTATTGTAAATTGTGCTGCTATGAACATTGTGGTGCATAGTTCTTTGAAATTGATGTTTTAGGATTCTTAGGATATAATCCTAGCGGTGGAATTGCTGGGTCAAAAGGCAGATTGATTTTTATTTTTCTGCAACCCCACCAACAGTGAACTAAGGTCCCCTTTTCCACACACCCTCTCCAACATTTGTTGTTTGTTGCTTTGTTTATGATAGCCACCCTGACTGGTGTAAAGTGGTATCTCAAGCATGACACTTCAGTGGCATTTACAAAGAAAGCTAAAAGCTGTTATATCTGGCCTTGGTCCTAATACCTTTGATGGGAGAATTGAGGAAAGCATGTGATCAGCACCATGGGCAGAAGCCAGTGACCAGAATAAGGCGGTGAGGGGAGGCTGGGGGAGCTCCCCTGGGAGTGGCGTGACAGCAGAGGGGACCAGGCTGTTTTGCAGTGTACCATGGTGGGCATGGCATGCCCAGTATATTTCATTCCTTATGTAACTGAAAAAGAGGTTGATTAGGGGAATGAGAAAGGCATATTCCTGAATTTCAGCTGAGAACAACAAATGGAAATCCTAATGACCAGGCTGAAGATATAATATGTTCATAGACTTTGTCGAGCTACCATCAGGACTACAAATCAATACTCCACGTGTCCCATGCCATGCTCCTGAAGCAGGAAGACGGAGTTCACTTTGTGCTCCCAGCATTTCTTTCTTTGTGAAACTGCACCTACTTCAACAAATGGCAAGTTGAGTGGACTAGGAGGCTTAGTCCTGGATCTCAAAAACTGTATAATCTCTTTGAAGAGACTGAATATAATCCTCTGGGAAGTTCAGTAAGAATACATGGTTGCGTGTGGTTAAGTGGGTAGTGAGCTGCAGATATACTGAGTCCCTACATAAATTCAGAGAGCCGCAGTTTCAGGAGGTGGCGGAGACTGATGCTAACCTGTAAATTCATAGCTGGAGTTCCCATCCCTGCTCTATTACTAACTGGCCAGATGAGCTAGCAGATTATTTAACCTCTTCTGTGACTGGATTTATTCTTCCATAAAATGGGCATGACAGTATTTCCCCCCTAGGGCTGCTGAGGTGAAACAAGAAAGTGAATGTGAAGTGCTTAATTCATGTCGGCACGTGTTGGGCTGCTGTAGATGGTGGAAGAGTAGAGGTTCCTTGGGGTAGACGAGGGTGAAGCCAGGTCCCAAAGCATAGGGGGGATTTAGGCAGGTGGGGAGGAAGTGAACAATTTGAAGATCTTTGGCTCATAACAAATGAGCTCATTATCTGCCTACCATGAGTTCCAGCTCTGATATTTAAATTACTTTGTGGCCTTTGGCAAGTCTCTAAGGTCCTCTATGCCTAGTTTTCCTTTTTATTTAAAAAAAAAAAGGTCGTTATAATCACAGTGCTTGGTGGATAGCTGGTGTTCAACAGTAACAGGTTCTCTTTCCTAGATGTAGCTATTGCCACTGCTGTCCTCATCATTGTCGTTCTTGCTCTCATCATCCTTGTCACCAGGGGCAGAGATGGACAGGAATTTCGCTCTTTTGGGGCTCAGGTCTCAGAGACTGGAGGCATATAAAATTTATATTTAGGGAAAGGTCTGATTGCAAAGTCTCTCTTCAAATAAGAGAACTATTTGAAGAATAGAAAACTTTGTGATTACAGGGATTTAAGCTGGCTAAGCTGGATATGGGACTCTCTACAGAACAGATTGTATTTCACATCAGTATTCTTTTTTCCCCTACTTTATTTATTTTTTATTGTTTATTCCATGCCAGTTTTCCCAGTAATTTTCCCTCTTGTCTCCCTCCACCCAGCCCACTGCATCCCCCAAGGTCAGTCCTCTTTCCCTTGTCCGTGTCCACGGCTCACTCATGCATGTCCTTTGACTAATCTCTTCCTCTTCCAGGTATTTTACAATGGTTATTTTCTTACTTTTTAAGTCAAACTTTTTTCTTTTAGAAGGACCAAAATTTGTTGTTTTTTTCATTACACTGAAACCTGTTATAAGATACATACGTAGTAAAATGGACCATACATTACAGCTTGCCACTGTGACCACATACCTTTGGCATTAAATTTGAAAATGTTAAGTGGCTAATGTAGAAAACCTCAATAACACACCAGAAATATTTTAATCAAGCTGGTAGAAATCATTTCCATATTCCACAAAAGAAATCTTTGTCCTTTTTGTTTTGGTGTTCGTATCAGAGTTAGTGATAATTTGTGTATTTGCAGCTAGTACTAAGAATTTTCTTTAATTATTTTTCTCTCTTAGAGCGATATCGAATTCAGAGTGAACAATTTGAAGATCTTTGGCTCATAACCAATGAGCTTATAATCCGCCTTCAAGACTACTTTGAAAAGCAGGGAATCAAAGACTTCACATGTTCTTTTTCTGGATCCATGCCCCTTCAAGAATATTTCGAGTTGATCGATCATCATTTCGAGGTGTGTATGGTTCCAGCCCACATGATTCATGGTTTTTGAGCACACAGAAGGGAGAGATGCTGCTGAGGTAGGAGCTCATGTACCCGCTCTTAGGTTGCGTGCTCCCAGTTGTTCTTTTGCGGGCGGTGGATTTTGTGAGTCTGTTCCTGCCCTCTTGCCCGACTTGTGGTCAGTTGCAGACATTTAAGAGAGGCTGCCTGGAGCTAAGCATGTGGTCTGGCTGCAGAACAGAGCTGATTTAATTCTTCCACAAGGGGACTTAACCTCTGACCCCAATAACCCAGTGTTGAAACTATTGGAGCTTATCGGCAGCCATTTGGCTAACTAATTCTAGCAAGCCACAAATGAGGTGTGATTATAAAATAAAGTGATTTTTCCTTTTCATTTTTAACAAGCACACCAGACCTTCTACATCTGAATGAGGGCTAAACACATATACTATTCTCCAGTATTGGGCATAACTGGCGCTTAGTAAATGACGAATGGCAGAATGTCTAAGTAAATGAGATCTGACAGCAACTCCGTTGCCTGAGCGCTTTTACATTTCTTCTTTGGAATTACCTTCCGAGCCTGTTTTGGGTTCTCTTGGGGATCTTGATGGTGCCCAGTCTTTATCCTTTGAAGAGTGATTTGATATTTGGGAATAGTCTAGAGTCATGTTTTGTGAATGAATTGGACAATGACAGTCTTTGTTTAAAATTCACTGGGTTCTACATACTTATTTGCTTAAAAATAGACTTTGAAGGGAGACTACAAAGGAGACTTCTAAAAGAATTTTCAATGTCATTCAAGGAAGTGTGAGTTTCTAGAGTGACTACTTTTTCAGAAATCAATAGGTATTTGCATTTCATTTTATAAACTATGGGGTGTGTGTGTGTGTGTGTGTGTGTGTGTGTCTGTCTGTCTGTGTGTGAGAGAGAAAGAGTGAGAGAGGGAATCTGTCATGTAACTTGCCAGTCATATGAATATCCTGCCTAATTTCTGTCCCTTTGAACATTCCAAAGGCATTGACTTCAAGTGATAAAGACCTCTTTTAATACAGTGTGAACATGCATGGAAAAACTCAGTGCACACAACTCAATAAAAATTAACATGTCATTATCAAAGAAAGTTTAACTTGTTTGAGTTTCCCATAATACATTCAGATATGTTATAGGGAAGTATACTTGGACCAAATTGTGGCACCACAGTTGGCAGTTTGGGAATATATTTAGGAGTTGTAAGGGTTGGTAACCTTTGCCATTCTCTAGGGTACGCTTTAATAGAGTCCCGCATCACTGGGGTGTAGTGCTTCGTGGAAGAGGGGACTGCGCTAATTGTTACTGTGCCTGCAGCACCTCGGCCAGGGAGCTCGGTGTGTCAGGTGGCATCCAGGCCTCCACTCACCCAGGAGAGATTTCGAGGATGAATTGGAGCAAGACTAAAGCAGGTTTTATTCAGGTAGAGAAAAAGTAAGAGGCCGGGGTGTGGGCACCTCTGTGAAAGGAGTGAAAAATATGCATCTGAGTGAAACATTTCTTTTTTTTAACCATACAGAACTATTTATGTACTTTATTGTGTGTGTGTGTGTGTGTGGCTTTGAGCTTTGACTGTACCCATGAGGGTCTTTCTTATGCTGAGATGATTTAAAAATTCTAATTTTCTGGTACTTTTATTGTGTTCAAACTTTTGATTCATCTGCAGTTGATTTTGCTATAAATACCGGGGGAGAAATTCCTACTCTTTTCTTCCATGTATTTAATTAGTTTTCACAAGATGTTTGCTATCTGTTCTTTCTGCAGTGATACAGAGTATTTTTACTAAATTTTTATTTGACCTAGTCTACTATTTTATCTATGTTTTTATGTACCAGATGCCACTGTTTTAATTCTTTTGACTTTATGACATGCTTGAATTTCTTCTATATCCTTTCAGACATTTATTGGCATTTTCTGTATTTTTACTTTAAGTATGTTTTGTTGTGCACATTTAACCTGAATTTAAGAAATTCTTCATTGTAGCTGCGGCTAAATGGTGAAAAATTAGAAGAACTCTTATCTGAAAGAGCTGTCCAGTTTCGCGCCATTCAACGCCGGCTGTTAACAAGGTTCAAAGACAAAACACCTGCCCCCCTCCAGCACCTGGACACCTTGCTGGATGGAACTTACAAGCAGGTGAGTATACTATCACTGAGTTTTTCACAACCACAGTCTCTTGATGTTGAAAATCAGATTTTTTTTTTCAGAGTTAGCTTCCCTAGAGGAAAGAAAAAAAAAACTTACTATATAAACACCAATAACTGCATTGACAATGCCTTTATGTCTTGAAATCCTCATGGTTATTTGAAAAAGCAGCACTTAGAAGGACAGACTGCAGCAGCAGTTAGGTGTTCTGGAAAGAACATTGGGCTTGGAGTCCAAAGTCCCTGGTTCTGTATTAGCTGTGTGGCTTTTGGAAACTCCCTTACCCTCTCAGAACCTGTTTATTTCCATAAAATGGGGTCCCTCCTCACTGTGTTGTTACAAAGATTCTGTTCAACAGTGTGCGTGGCAGTGCTGGTAAGTTGCTGCACAAGCGCAGACCACTAGTTTCTTTGGCGGAGGGGCAGTTACGTGACTCCTAGCACTAGTGCGTGTCCTGTTCCACACGTCTCTCTTCAGTACACTTTTTGTTCTGGATTCCTTATTTCCATTTTCCCTCCTCCTTCCTATCTCTTTGTTGCCTGTCTGTGTTGCTCTCGGGCCTCCTGCTATATCTCCCATACTTGGGGCTGCACCTAAGCTGAGTCTTGTCTTTAACGATGAGGGATCTTCTTGTGGACACAATGGCAGGAGGGTGTTTAAAGGGATTTGGTGAGGATGCTTGATTTAATGCTTCCCATATTGTCTTTTTCTCTTTTTATTGTTGTTCTAGTACAGTTGTCCCACCCCCCCCATTGCTCTCTACTGTCCTGCCCTTGTTCCCTCAGTCAGTCCCCCTCATTGTCCATGTCCATGGGTCATTTATACTTGTTCTTTAACTAAGCCCTTCAAGGCTTCCTTTGTCTTCATACATGTAAAGTGTTGGGGGTTTATGTTTCCTGCTCAGCCTCAGGGCTGGGTTTTTCCAGGATATGTACTATCATGGAAAAGATGATCGAAACTGTGGGCTTTTACTTGAATCTATAGTTTTAAGTCTCCGTTCTTTTTTTAGATTAAAAAGAGAATGAATCAGTTTCCAAAGGAAAAATAGGAATATTATAAGAAATTTGACTTAGTTTTAATGTACTTTATACTCAATTTTATTATAAATATTCACATTAATTATGGTAAGGTATTGTTCTGTATGTTAATTCTTTTTAGTCAATTTCATAATAACATAGTTAATACATGGACATAGTTTCCCTATGAAAATTACAAGATTACACATGGTGCTAAATTCTCCAGCTTGGTTCTTTATTATGTCCTCAGAAATGTAATCGCTTTTATACGTTTTTGTGTATTTTCAAACCTTTTGCATTCAGAAATGAAATACTGCTTTGTGAGGCAAAAAAAATTTGCACATAACATTGTAGTGTACCTTTTTCTTTTCTTTTTCTTCTAACAGTATGTGCTGGAGCACTTTTCTTGTGGATGTGTGGATTTACTCTGTTTGTGGTGTCTGTATTGTGTAGTATAGACATTCTGTAGTATGGACAAACCACAGTCTGTTAGAGGGTAAATCTTAATAAAAGTTTTAATGTTGAGTGTAACGCTGAGAAAAATTCCTTGCAGACAACTCTGTTGTGACCACACAGGCGTACGACGTGCCTTGCTATTGTACACCTTCTGTTTAGTGTAAATTCTTCTTATCTTTACACTTTGCCTAGACAGTGGGCAGGGTTTGCTGGGCAGGGGAGCCAAGCCTGTGAGGGCAGAGCCATGCTAGGGCCCCACCTTACTCTCTCTGGCGTGACTGCAGGGCGTGACAGTCACTGGATTCTGCGAGTGTTTCCAATGCACCAGTTTAAAATGAGATCCTTGTGCAGTCCTTGTTCTCTTGTGTGCAGGGAGCTTTCACTTTCTTAGTCCTTCTGTGGGTCTTAGTGCTGCTTCAGTGCTCACCACTTGCGGTGAGCACTGTGAGCTGCACAGTGGGGTTTGCATCTGGTCCCATTTAGCAGCGTGTGTCTTGGTGCAGCAGTGCCAATGGGCTGATGTGAAAGTGGAAGCAGTAGCCGGTATCCTAAAGCTGGGGTGTCAGACAAAAGGGGTTATTGTCATCCATCATCTTTCTGAGACTGCTGCTTGTCAGCCTCATGGATCTGCACCTCAGCTGACAATCAGGAAGATCCTGTATCCCCAGGGCACCCCCAAACTCCTTTAGCATACCTACCTGCCTTGGGCAATGTTTGGTTCCAGAGGGGACCCCAACAGGGAAGGGGCATCATCAGATCATGGGGTCAAGTGCCCCCCTTCCCTGAATCCCTGATTGTTTCAATATTTAACTGGAAGATAATTTGATTGTTGTTTCACTCTTTCTTTGCTTTTCAGTGAGGCTCAGCATTTTAAAAATACTAATTGGCCATTTGTATGTTTTTTCTTGTGTCTACATATATACGTCTTTTCTATCAGGCAGTTTGTTTTTTTCATGTTATTTTGTGACTATTAGAAGTTGCAATCTTTTATCATACTTGGTCATTCATAAAAATGTGTTTTGTATATAAGGAATGTAATCTCTCTTCATGTATAAAAAAAGTTTTACTAATTTGTCATTTGTCTTTATTTTTATTTATAATGTTTTTTGACGTAAAATTTTAAAAGTATTTCATAGTAAAATCTACCCATCTTTCTTCTTTATGTCTCTCTGTCTAGGAAAGCCTTTTCTATGCCAAGAGTATGTGAACATAGACCTATAATTTACTCTAACATTTTCCTGCTATCATTCTTTATAGACACTTCTAAATCCATGTGGAATGTATTATGCAATTTAGTGGGAATCTAATCTCCTTACCAAAAATGGTGAGCTAGTTGTCTGGGCCCCTGCTTATTGCATAATCCATTTCTCTCCCACTGAACGAAAACCCTACCTGTACCACTCACCAGTTTTACTGTGCAGCAAACCACCCCAAACCTTACTGGCTTCAAACAGCAATACCTCATCATTGTACCCGAGTCTCTGGGGACAGCTGGGCAGTTCTGTTAATCTGGGGCACACTTGGCTGACTTTGACCTGCCTCACTCATGTATCTCTGGTCAGCTGGTGGCTGAGCCCCTGCTCAGACCAGGTGGCCTGTCAGGCACTTGCTCACATATTTGGCAGTTGGCTGACAGTTAGGTGAGATGCCTGTGGGCTTTTTCAGCTGGTGGCCCCAGGTCTCAAAGCACAGTATTCTCTTAGCTTCTGCCTGTGCCATGTCTCTTGTTCCCCATTGGTTTTGCGTAGCCTGGACCAGTGGTGTGGGGCAACAGACTGCCTCTCTGTTGGAGGGGTGGAGAACTGTGGGCATTTCCACCATCTACCCCGCTGCTTTTAGCTTGCTACCATTCTTTTTGCTACTAAATTGGTAAAATGTTTTCCGAGGTAATTTTTTCACTCTTCCCTAACCCTTGAATGTGGGTTTCCTGTACTTTTGACTTTCCAACCTAAACTTTTATTGTCACTAAAATCATATTCATGTATAATCAGTTGTGGTCTGTGGACTTTGTAATTAATTAGGTTTGTCAAGAGATGTCGAAAGCAAACTGAGCATCTGTGTTGTTTTTAGGCTAATGAGACCTACTGAAGGAGTTCACGTGCTCAGTCAGGGTCTGTAGTTTCAGAGGTGGAACCTGCTATCCAGTCTCCTTGTACTCCTCACCTTCGCCCCGTGCAGGGTGGGCTTCGTGGGCCTGCGAGCTGTGTCGGCTCTAGAGCCCCGTGCTGTGTGTCGTGCTCTGTGGCAGCCATCTTGAAATTCTTCATACTTTCCAAATAATAGACCCATATTTTCATTGTGCACTGAACACCACACAACGGTCAGTGGCCCAGGCTCTGTCATGGAACTCATTTCTGATGAGTGGAGCAAGATGACTGAGAGCCACGATACTGGACACAGTTCAAAGATGGAACAGCGTTTCAAGGCAAGATGGCTTTACTGCCACTGCCTCTAAACCACCGGGGAGCTGCCCCCAAGATGAAGAAAAAAGGGTCAGTGGGTGTTAGTGAGAGCTCGAGAGCTTTCTGGGAAAGACATCTTGGTTACATGACAATGAAGTGACGAGGGTTGTCTCATTTAGCAATAGCGTTCTGCGACTAGTTGTCCGTAGGCACGTTGTAGGCAGCAGGTCACTGGCCTTGAGACCCAACATCACTAGTTCCGAGTCTTGGTGCACCCAGGGGTCAGCTAGCCGCCTTCTGAATGCTTTTAACTGTAAGCCAGTTCCTGTGTCCTGTCTCTTTGAGTGGGTGGAGGCCCAAAATCCACATCCCCACATCACCATTGCTCTCTTATTGGCATGTCTGCCTTGCATAGTATATCAGCCTGCTGTCCCATTGGATGCCGGGGGCATCCACCAAGTGCCCCTCACTGAGGGTGGCCAGTGGCTGATGCGAGGAGAGACGACCAGCCCTGTCCCTCTGGGAAAGCACCTTGTGACTCGCACATGAGAAGGGGCTGGCCCCCAGAGAATGAAGATTCTCCAGTTGCTCACCACAATTTCAATAATTTATTCCAGAATTTGGGGGGGAGAGCTTCCTTTTTGAAAGAATGTTCACCTTCTGGCTTTAGAGGCATAATGTTAAAACAAAGTAAGCATGTCAAGAATTTCTTTTTTCAGCAGTGAGAAACCCAAATAGCCTCATCTGTGTAACTGGAATACTGCCTTCTCAACCATCTGAATATAGTTTTGGATGATCTAAGACAAGGATTGAGGGAAGAGAAGGGAAATTCATATTTATGGAGCATCTGTTGAGTCTGAGGCAAATTTTGTGTATTACTCTATTTAATACTCACAATCATTTTGGGAGGGTGGTACTGTTGTTCCCATTTTACGGAGGAAGAGCTTGAACTCTGCGCAGAGTTAGGCAACTTGCTGGTTGTTACAGAGCGTGCGCAATCAGTTCCAAAGCCCAGGCTTTGCTAATTCATGTGGCATTTGTATTTAATCATTTCCAGGTGGAACATAGACGTCCTAGGTTTCTTTAGCAAAACCACAGTCAGGTTAAAGAAGGAGGA